AATGCCCTGAGAGGGTTATAAGAGAGAGAAATGCATCTTGTCACTATCAGAGAAAGAAAAATAATTATGAATTTGATTATTAAGGTTAACAACTTCTTAGAAGAAGCTGTGCTTGTGTGAAGCTTTGCAGTCTGAATAGTATGCAGACAAAATATAGGAAAAATACATTTCAGAATAATGTGTGCAACGTTTAAGTGGCATGAAACAATGTGCCATCATTTGGAAAAGCAAGCACTTTGGTGTGAATTGTGATGATAAAAGTTAAAATTTACCTTCATATCTGATAGAGTTTATAATCTGGGAAATTATCTAACAATATTTTCAGTTTAGAAAGATGATGATGGTAACATGAAACACATAAATAGTGCTTCGGATAGGAAGACACTGTTCTAAGTGCTCATCATGTTTTATCTGATTCAATCTTCAGGATAACTCTCATGCCTTTTTGGTCTCAGTGAGAAAACTAGTTTGGGGACAAACAGACTCATTCTTGCAGTAATGCAAAGGATACAGGATAATTTCATAGAATGGGAATATGGTTAAAGAAATTTCTACCCATAGAATCATCAGGAATTAATGACTAATTTGATTTGTGGTATAAGAGATTTCAAAACAGTAGTGAAGACAACATCCACCTGTGTGTCTTCACTGTGTGTGGTGGAGTGAATTTTCCCCAAGATTGGGCATGAAGATAGCAGAGGAAGCTCAGAGTTGGATGGGAAGATCATTGATATGACTAGAATCTCTGTCATGGCAGAAATTACAAAAGAACCTGGATTATAACAAGGTTGTGGTCAATACACAAATACATATAGGAGGAACTTCAAATTTATTGTAACAAGAGATAAGAAAAAATTAGTTATGCTCCAAAACACAAGTAATAAAAACAAATATAGATACACAGAATATGTCAAAATAAAAAACATTCTGCATAGCAAAGTCAATAATCATCAAATGAAGAGAATATATATTTGGTAACCATACAGTCAATGAGACTTACTATTCAAAATACATAGGATTCAAAGAGCTCAATAATAAGGAAACAACCATATTAAAAATGGGAAAATGACCTGAGCACATATTTCTCAAAAGAAGACAGAAACAGCAAACATGAATATTAAAAAAAAACAAACAGCACTAACTATCAGGGAAATTCAAGTGAAAACCTCTCATCTGTTAGAATGGCTATTATAAAAAAAACAAAAGACATGGGTTGAGGAGTGCTATGGTTGATACAGTTTGAACATCCTCCAAAGGTTCATCTTGAGCTTGGTCCTCAGGATGCTGGTGTTGGGAATTGCTGTTGAGCCTCTAAGTGTTGGGGCCTAGTGAGACATACTTAGGTGATTTGAGGGAGTGTGCTCAGAAGGGGTCTTGGGACTCTACTCTATCTCTGGCCTCCTGTTTGTAAATGTGATTTCTTCCTCCCAGAGGTGTACCTTTCATTGTCATTGCCATGATACGATGCAACCAAGAAGCCCCTCTCCAAAGCTGAGCTGATGGCAGTACCATGTCCTTGAAATTCTAAAGCAATTTTTCTTTATATGGTATAGCCTGCCTATATTTTGTATTGTTGTAGCAATACAAAATAGATAATACAGAGAGATTGTGGAGAAAAGGAAACTATTATGTACTATCGATGGAGTTCTGAATTAATATTGCAAATATGGAAAGCAGTATAGATGCTCTTTTTATAACTATGATGTTAATTATTTTTTTAATTGCTTAAAAATTTATTTGAGCTAATTAGTTATACATGACAGTAGAATGTATTTTGACACATCATACATAAATCGAGTATAATTTCTCATTCTTTGGTTGTGCATAAGGTAGAATCACAGCATGTAATAATACATTTATATAGGGTAATAATATACAGTTCATTCTACTATCCTTCCTTCCTCCATACCCACTCCCTTCCCTTCAGTCCTCTCTGTCTAACCCAAAGTACCTCTATTTTTCCTTAGCAGCGCCCCCCTTATAGTGAATTAACATCTGCATATCAAAGGAAACATTGGGCCTTTGGTTTTTCAGGATTGGTTTATTTTGCTTTGCATGCTTTTAAAACAAGTAAAAATAGAACTACCAAGTGATTCAGTAATTTTTCTACTGGGTATATATCCAAAAGATATAAAATCACTATGTTAAAAGATATCTGTACTTTCATGTTCATTGTAATACTCTTCACAATAGCTAAGATATGAAATCAATCTATGGGTCCATCAATGAATTAAATAAATTAAATATGGCACATATACACATAATACTATTCATCTATTTAAAAAGGAGGAAATCCTGTCATTTATGGCAACATAGATAAACCTAGAGGACATTATGCTAAGTTAAATAAGCTAATTACAGAAAGAAAAATTCCACATAATATTATATATATATATAATTTTAAAAAGTTAAATAATAGAATCATAGAATAGAAGGATGGTTACTGGAGGGATATGGGTAGGGATAGAGGTTGGGTGGGTTGCAGAAATGTTGGTCAAAATCTACAAAATTTTTGTTAGATGGGAATAATATGTTAAAGAGATCTGTTGTGCATCATGGTGACTATAGTTAATAACAACATATTGCATATTTGAAAATTGTTAATAGTAAATTTCAGATGTTTTTATCCTATGCAAAAAAATACGTATGAGGTAATACATATGCTGATATATTCATTTAACCATGACTTAATGTATACTTACATTAAAACGGCATGTCATATACAATGAATATATATATATATATATTTTTTCAAATAAAAAACCAAAGATATAAAAAATTGTGCTCTATATGTATAAGATTGTAATTCATTCCACTGTCGTGTATTTAAAAAAATAAAATCAATAAAAAAGTTAAAGAAACTGCAAAAAAAATTACCTCTAAATAAGAATTTATATTGGCCTTCTTTGTTTACCTCTAAATTATCCAGATCTTTCTTGTTTCAGGGCTTCTGGATATGTTGCCCTATCTAAAGAAATTCTCCCACCAATGACCCACTTTATCTGGTGACTTATTCTTACACTTCAGAGTTTAGGTGAAATGTCAGCCTCTAATAGGAAACAGCAGAGCACAGCAAGCACATTGGGGGAGTGGGGGGAATGGGAAGGGAGCACTGGGGACTAAAATGAACCAAATTTCGTTATGTGCATCTATTTACATGTCACAATGAATCCTGTTATTATGTATAATTATAAAGCATCAATAAAAATTTTAAAGGTCTATTCCTTTGGTAAGCCAGTCCCATAATCAACATAAATTAAATTTTCTTTTAGTCTCCCCTATTCTAGATTGTGCATGCACTCTCTATATAAACTAGACTTACACTGGTTCTAAAGTGTTTTCCCTGAATTTATCTGCATATTGGGATTGGTTTGAAACAGAACATAAGATTTATGATCAGAGATCACACATATTTTTTTCATCACATATATCCAGTAGCTAAGAGAGCATCTGGTGTATATTAAGGAAGTAAGATAAATTGTTGAAATAAGAAACACAAAAAGTATATCCTGCATGCCTTAAAATAAAGTAGAGCTTAATCCCATCAGTGGGTGGCAGCAGATGATAAAGAAGGTTTTGAAAGAAAGAATGGTTGAGATAGTCTTGAAATGTAAGATTGTATGTCTAAGTTAAACAATAGGAGCTTTCCCAGAAAGAACCAGCAACACTTGAGAAAATACAATCATGTCAATTAGAGGCCCAGCAAAATTTTGGTGAACTTCAGAATGCACAACTAGGCACTGAAGGGAAATGCATAATGATAACCTCAGAAATAATAATGTTGGAGAGGTAGGCAGAGACCACAGGAGAGACTCAGACTCATGAAGAATGCTTGGTTTCACCTCATTTGATCAAAGAAGTTATTGGATGTGCTTTCCATGGACTTTCTGGCCATTCTAAGACTCCTGATGTTTTTCTGCATTAATATTAATTCAAACCCTTTCCTTGAAGTTATTTGAGAAAGTTATTAGCAATTGATTCAACACTAGTAGCTTCTTTTAATAGAAGAAGTATGTTATTCAGGGAATAGGTGGGGGCTGACAAGGAGAGCCAGGAAAGATATACATATGAACAGAACAGAAATTCCATCAGGAAGTTCCAGTCTCAAAGCAAGCACACAACATCCCCATGTGCAGGTAAAGGCAGGTCAATGTGTAGTTTAAGGTGATGAATGAGGTTGCAAAAAAGTCACTAATATTTGCTGCAGAATTGAAGGGGCCAATGTTGTGCATTTTCTTCAAGGAAAGGAGGAGTCAGTTAGATAACCGGCTTCTGTTCAATGGAATTGACAGTTGAGATACCATCTTTGCTCTGCTCAATTGCTCTTAACAGCTTGAATGTAACTTTGCTCTCATAAATGTACCTTTGCTTTCATTTGAATGACAATATGTTGTGCAATAAGGTGTAGTTAATTTTTCCTGGAACTGAGTAAAACCGTTTAATATATTATTTTTTAAAAAAATAATTTATTTGTTATAATTAGTTATCCATGACAGAAAAATGTTCTTTGGTTCATTGTACACAAATGGAGCACAATTTTTCACTTCTCTGGTTGTACATGAAGTAGAGTCCCACCATTCGTGCAATCATACACGTACCTTGGGTAATGATATCTGTCTTATTACACTATCTTTCCTATCCCCATGCTCCCTCCTATCCCTTCCCTCCCCTTTGCCCATTCAAAGTTCCTCCACTCATCCCATGCCCTCCTCATTATGGATTAGCATCCATTTATCAGAAAGAAAAAAAAAAAACATTTGGCCTTTGGTTTGGGGGATTGGCTTGTTTCACTTAGCATGATATTCCCAAACTCCATCCATTTACCTGCAAATGCCATATATTCTTAAACTTGTTAGAGAAGCACTAATAGGAGAAAATCAAACTTTATATGTAGAAAATATTTTTATGTTGTACTGTATTTGGATAATTAAATGAGAAAATTGATGCAAGAACAGATTTTCTTGGCAATTAATAGCCATGAAGAGTTTAAAATTGATTCTTTAGCTAAGAGAAAACCAAGTCTTGCTCATTGTTCTTTGAAGGGCTGATTTGAATTCCTTATTTCTCAGACTATATATCATTGGATTGAACAATGGGGTGAGGATGGTATAAGACACAGATATTAGGGTGTCTTGGCTGGAAGAGTAATTGGACTTGGGTCTTAAGTAGATGAAGGAGGCACAGCCATAGTGGACAGTTACCACAATGAGATGGGAGGCACAGGTGGAGAAGGCTTTATATCTCCCAACAGAGGATGGGATCTTTAGAATGGCAGAGATGATGCGGACATAGGACACCAGGATGAGTAGCAGTGGGATAACTAAGACCAATACACCCAGCATGAAGATGACCAACTGACTGAGGTGGGAGTGGTGAGATGCCAGTTTGAGGACAGGGGAGATGTCACAGAAGAAGTGATGCAGTTGGTTGGAAGAGTGGAAGGGCAGGTGAAATACCAGGGAGGTAGTGACCAAAGAGACAGTGAAGCCACAGGCACAGGCAGCAGCCACTAATCCCAAGCACACCCCATGGCCCATGAGCACTGTGTAGCGTAGCGGGTTGCAGATGGCCACGTAGCGATCATAGCCCATGGCTGCCAGCAGGAAGGAGTGAGAGCAGCCCAGGAAGAGGAAGGTGAACATCTGGATGGCACAGCCCAGGAAGGAGATGGTCTTCTTCTGAGCCAGCAGGTCCACCAGCATCTTGGGCACAATGACAAATGTGTAGCTGGTCTCAGAGCAGGAGAGAACTGAGAGGAAGAAGTACATAGGGGTATGAAGGGCTCTGTCCAGCACAATGGTGGACATGATGATGGCATTGGTGCCCAGTGTGAAGAGGTAGACGAGCAGGAAGACCATGAACAGCAGTCTCTGGAGGCTGGCCAGAGCTGAGAAGCCCAGGAAGACAAATTCTCTCACCCAGGTCTCGTTGACCCACTCCATAGACAGCAGTTCTACACAGGAGTGCCAGGGACAGAGGTGGAGGCCAGGACCCAGGAAGAAGAGCAGAAAAGTACAGGATCCTCAGCGTGAAGCTTGTAGGTGACAGGTATTCCCGGATATTTGGTAGAGTTCTTTCATTCCATCTTTAAAATGTCTGCTAAAAGAAGAATTGGTGCTAAATATTCCAAAGAATAACTGACTCCAGTTTGGAGGCTTTTTGTAATTTGAAAAACAGCTCCTCATTTTTGCCAAGCATTATACCAATGTCTAAAAGATTTCCCTTTTTTGTTTTATATGCATTATTTGTTTTTCTTGTTTAATATAAACCCAAGGACTGTAGGTCTCTGTGAGTGAACATTGTTAGCTTGAACAATCTGATCCTGATCAGAATGCAAAATGAAAGAATTGTGAAACTGATCATATTGTGCTACATGAACCTAAGAATGCATCAGAAGGAATTATACTTCTTTTTTCTAATTATGATGCACATATTTCAATAACTAAATATACAAACAAACAATGAATCAAACAGAAGGGAAATCTGTGGATTAGAACAGGAAGGACTCAAAGAAAGGTAATGGGAAGTACTTGCATTTGAAAGGAAACAAATTATATAGGATTTTATGAATATGCTGATATATTCATTACAATTACCTTAACATAGTCCACAAAACAATAAGAAAAAAGAAATTAGCTTTACTTACAACAGACTGACTAATAAGAAGCCAACTGGAAACACTGCTTGAGGTTCCAGAAACTAGTACATCAAATAAAAAGTGGGGCAGAAGATAGCATTAAAGGCAATATATTTTTTCTTATTCAGGAAAGATAAGTCACCAGGCGGTAGAGAGAGACTAACTTGGTGACTTTTTTTTTTTTTTTTTTTTTTGCACATGTCAGTTTTTCCATTCTGTGTTTCCACAGAGAAACTTATAGAAATAGAGCTTTTCAGAAGTGGCTCACATCTTGCCACAGAATACGAAAGACAGTAGGACAATTGCCATTTGACAGGTTATTCATTCCTGCTTGAAACCATCAGTTCTTATGTACTGATAGGCCAGTAAGAATGCTTTGGAACATTTTGCTACTAGAACTAGTTTGCAAAGTTCCAGAAAGAATTTTTTCTAAAATAATTTTCAGACTTTAAATGAGATAATTTTTCCATGTGTGCATTTTCCAACTGTTTGACCTAATAATAAGAAATTTTCTTTGAGTAGAAAAATCATCTACTATATATTAACTGGATACAGTCTTCATTTATTTTCATATGAGACTTTTAAATCATTTCATGCTGAGAAATTTTTCTCATCTTTTTTTTCAATTTTATGAGTTTTTTTTTTAAGAGAGAGAGAGAGAGAATTTTTAATATTTATTTTTTAGTTTTTGGCGGACACAACATCTTTGTTTGTATGTGGTGCTGAGGATCAAACCCGGGTGGCACACATGCCAGGCGAGTGCGCTACCACTTGAGGCACATCCCCAGCCCAAAGTCAATTTTACTTATTTTATTTTTTTGCAGTGCTGAGAATTGAACCCAGGGCCTTGTGCATGCGAGGCAAGCACTCTACCAACTGAGCTATATCCCCAGCCCCTTTCTCATCTTCTATTGGAATTTTTTTGCATCTTTTAAACCAATACTTCTATTTATAGATCCTAAGTTAAGTTATGAACATTTCTGAAACTCATTGCATCTTTGCTTAGAATTTAGAGATAATATAATTTTTTCCTTACTAAAAACTGGCCCTAAACATGGTCTCTGACCTCTCTCTGTAAGGACATAACTAAAACTTATTAGTTACTGTTATTATTTACTATTACCTTTACACTATTAACACCTATCATTATTAGTAATACATATAAATATAAAAAGGTCTATGACATTTATAACTTCAACGTAAGAATGTGTATAAGAGAGCAGAGTGAATGATTGTGTGTTTGTATACGCATAGTAGTCACGTCTTTTCTATACCAAGAAAATCAAAAGGTTTCCCCCGTAACATCCACCTCCTAGGACAACAAATTTCTGTCCATTTCAAATCACTGAGGAAAACTTATGATCCTTGCTTATTTTGACTCACTGCTGTCCCAGAAGACTTTCATCTGGTCTCCTAAGCACTCATACACTTCTAATGCCCACTATAGCCTGTGATGAATATGATGGAAATAAGTAGAGCAAAGAAGCTGAAATTCTCTGATTCTGAAAGAGTACTTGTATCTACCAAAGAAAATCAAGTTTGATTATTTGTCACTCAGGCTCAGTCAGTCAGCCGATCTCAGTGATATGGGTTTTTGCATAGTTATTAATACAGCCCCCAAGCTTGAATGAATTGTGTAAATGATTTATTTTATTTGATTTATTTTATTTAATTAATTTCGCCAAATTGCCTAATTAAAATTGAATGTAAGTATCATATTTCAATTATAGTGAAAAATATACATTCTTGAGTAGACAACAGAGAACACTAAAAAGGAGAGAGCTGGGGCACCTGTTCCATTAATCTATGAGTCAACCCTTGATGGGGGGCGGGGAAGGAAAGGAAAGAAGAGGGAAAGCAAGGAGGAAAATCTAGCTGGGAGCCAAAATGATCCAGTGTAATCGTCTAGAAAAAAAAAACCCTGAGAAATGCACAGCCCATTCCCAATCATTCTTTGTACCTAGAAAAGTGGGCACTGATTTTCCTTTTTATCCCTGTCACTTACCAGAAATTCCTTTAAGGGGCAGAGGAAGAGTGTTCTCATGTCCAACCCATCACTTGTGTCCAGGCCTCACAAAGTCCCTCCAATGTCCCCAATGCTCAGCAAGGACCTTCAAAGACAAGCAGCTATTCAGTATCAGGGATTCTTTGGAAAATAAAATGTAAGCAACAGATCAGAGCCTGAAAGAAGAGCAGAACAAAGAGAATCTGCCCTAGGACAGAGGCTCTCAGATGCACCACGGGAGTGAGGCTCCTCCATCCATCGGGACTCTTGGCTCCTCCAGATGAGTCTCTATCTTCAGAGGGGTTGACCAGCATGCTTCGTGGTTATTAGAGGTGTGTACTGTGATCACTGGGCTCCTGAGGCTAGTTCCACTGCCCTGGAGACATTGTCTTGGGGTTAATTAGAAATCAGGCTTATTTTGGAAAAATAATGTCATCAGTTTCTCAAAAGTGGCCTTAGTTGAAGAGCCTGGGGACAAGGAGCCATGAGTATAATTAAGGAAGTTGAGTCCATCTGTCAGGGATTCTAAACCACAGTTAAAACTGTAGAGCAGCTGACCAAGTAGAAAATGTTTGTTGAATTTTAAGCCAGGAGACTGGTAGATTTGTACAGTGGCTTTCAACTTTAGGTTTTGCAAAAAATTCAAAATATGCTTTATCACAAATTTATCATTTTGCCCCCAGAAATTCTCATTGGATTTGATTTATTCTTCAAAAACCTAAATCTTTATCAAATATCTAAAATCTGGTTGTGATATATCATTAAATGCTTGTTTTTGTATGAATACATTTGCTTAGATAATGATATACAGTATAGTTGTCACTACCATCCAAACTAATCTGTGAAGTCAGTATAATTCTATTAAAATACCAAAATAAATTGTGAAGTCAAGCAACAATTGTTTTTATAAATTTACTTTTAAGGAAAACACCATTTTGAAAAAGGACAAGTGATACAGGGACTCCTTTTCCTGGTGGTAAGATGTCTCAATAATGAAAAGATCAGGAAACTAGTGCAGGAAAGTGTCAATAGTGTAAAAGTGATAAAAAGGAGAATTTGGAAATTGCTCCATGTGTACGTTCCACCAGAAAACACAAAAATGGAAAATGAGATTGGGCCTTGGCCACTTCAATCTATTTTGTTCTACAGACAGAGTTCATTTCACCAGTCAGAGACATGGCTACAGTGCAAGGGCAGAGAAGAGTCCACCTGAAATGTAGATCTTTTAGAGAATTTCTTATTACTTTTTCTGAAAAAGCAAAACTTAATGCAAGATGGACATACCCTAATATGAACAAAATCACTAATGGCTCAGATCTTTGAGAATGTAGAGCCCTGGCTGAGTTCAAGGAATACTGAAAAGGTGGAAGAAAAAAATCCACAAATATCAATTATATTCATATAATTACTTACAGAAATGAGATTGGCAGAGACTGTATTTTAGTTTCTCGCTTTTGTTATCCTGTATATACTTGTATGTGTTAACCATATCCCTGTTTTGTATAAATAAAGTGTGTTGTTGGTTGATAATAAGCATTATAATTCCCTCTTTAAAGAAAAATCTTGTGAAGAATAACCAGTTCACTGGTGGAACTCTGTGACTTCCATGTTTTGGAGATGGATGGGGGCACTTCACTGTAAAAGGCATATTTATATTATATTCATTATTATTACTTAGGAATTAAAGATGAACCAAGGTGTATGTGGGTGCTGGGTATCCAAAAAGGAAAACTCTGCTCTCTCCATATTTTTTGATTTTTCACATCATATTGATGTTTCTAGATTCTTTTTGGCACTGCTCTGGAGGAATAAAGATCCTAGTAATCCATGGATCTTTACTTGTTTGTTTATTTCTCCAGATTCCCTTGCCAGGAGAGTTTCACAACTGAGGGCTTACATGAGTCATTTGTATGATAGAAGAATAAGAAAACCAGAGTTTTCTGCCTGACACTTGTCCCATGACAGATACAGCTTTTGCCCTTGATGTGAAAATTCCCTGAGAATCTCCCATCAGTGTTGCAATAGCCAAAACCATCTTTGGGAGCTTCCTATGATTCCCCAAATTCTGAATGTCAAGCACATCCTTCTTGACATTGATGATGTTAGCATTTCAACACATATACAAGTCTAATTCTTCCCTGAAACTCCTATGACTATACATACCTAGAGAGGTTTCCGATTTACTCTCAGAAAGCAATTCTATTTAATCCTACCTCAAACTTTGCAAAAGATCAGAAACTTTCTATTGTATTGTCCATATGTGCAACAATGTTATAAATCCCATTTTATTAGATATCCCA